AGATAGATGATAGAAGATAGATAGATAGATGATAGATAGATAGATAGATAGATAGATAGATAGATAGATAGATAGAAGATAGATGATAGAAGATAGATGATAGAAGATAGATAGATAGATAGATAGATAGATAGATAGATAGATAGATAGATAGATAAATAGATAGATAGATATGAAGATAGAAGATAGAAGATAGATAGATAGATGATAGATAGATAGATAGACAGATAGACAGATAGACAGATAGACAGATAGACAGATAGACAGATAGATAGATAGATAGATAGATAGATAGATAGATAGATAGATAGATAGATATAAAGGGAGGGAAGGAGGGTGGGAGAGGAGAGAAAGAGATGCATATAGAGATAAAGATAGAGATGGATAGATATAGATAGATGATACAGATAGATAGATATAGAGATGATAGATATATACAGAGGGGGGGATGCATGGATAGATAGAGATGATAGATATATACAGATAGAGTGAGAGAGAGAGAGATTGATAGATAATAGATATATCTAATCTATATCTATCTATCATCTATCTATCTCAGAATATCCCAGAATTCCTCAGCCAGCTTTGCTGGGAGTCAAAGTCCACAAGTCTTAAAGCGGCCCAGGTTGGAGACCCCTGACTTAGATGACCCTTCTGGTCCCTTCCAACTCTATCATTCATGGCTGGCTAGGGAATTCTGGGAGTTGAAGTCCACCAGTCTTAAAATAGCTGAGGTTGGAGGCCCCTGCTATAAATGATGGTCACTTCTGCCCCATCCAGATTGCACCTCCTGCCCCAAATCCCACACATATGCCGGCATCAGCACCACCTACACACCGTCCAGGGGCTGGCCATGCGTTCGGGCCCCTCCTGCACCCGCTGCAGCCAGAAGAAGTGGCCGGAGGTGCTGCGGGCCACCGAAGCCGTCTCCACCACGGTCCTGCCTGGCAGCCACGCCCCGAAACCCCCCCGGCCGGGGGAGATCACCATCCTCTCCGTGGGCAGGTAAGGCCCAAGGTGCCCCTTGGAACGACTGGCCAGGCCAGTATAGGATTCAGCCACTTCCGTGTTGTTCATTTTTATTTTTTAAAAAAACCCAAGTTTCTAGTCCTTAAGAGGTGAAACTCTATGTATCATGTCTGTCCTGTCGTAGGCCTCCCCAGAAACAGTCTTGCAAAGGTATATTAATGAGCTCAGACCTTTTATCAATCCTGGAACGCTACCCGGTAAATAATTCCACACTCAGTGCTGACAGGGAAGGGCTGGGTTATACAGGCAATTCTTCATGAGGCTGGAATGAAGGAACGAGTGAGTTGTTTCCTGCAAAAGACGACTCTTCGTCCTGGCAAAACCTCTTTCATTAAAATGAAGGTGAATTTCTGGCATCCATATCCAGCCCCAGGGCCTGGCCAACCGTCTTTCAAGGGTGTAATTAGGAGCTCAAACCTTATCTATCTTGGAAAGTTGCCCGGTAAATATTTCCAAACTCAGTGCTGACAAGGAAGGGCTTAGCACAGAGTCTCTGAGATGCACAGATGGGGGCTTCACACTGCTGCAATGAATGAATGGTTTCCTGCGAAAGCCCCCTCCCCTTTTGCTCCTCTTTTAATCCCGATGGGAGGGGCCATTCATCGTCCACCTGTGGCCTTACTCCCACGTCAACCCTGAGTTCTTAATTGTGCCTTCCTTTTGGCAGCTCTGCGCATGCGCAGGTTGGGAACTGGCTCAAGAAGCTCCCTCGCCTCACTGCTGTCTGAGCCCGAAGGAAGCTGATGACTGCCAGCCTACCCTGGCCCCATCTCTGCCTCAGTTGCAGAGCCCTCGTCCGAGCCTTCCTCAACCTCCAAGACAGGCCCAGGTTCCTCCCCAACCTCCTCACTACTGTCTGACTCTGCTGCCAGCTCCACCAGCCCTCGGCGGGCCTGTCACGCCCCTGTTGGAGTCTGACTCTGAGGGAAAGGAGGACCAGCTGACAGGGCATGGAAGTGTGGCTCCGGAAGTTGGGGAAGGTCAAACCCAGGCCCATTCCGTCTCCATCCTAGGGCACACAGGGAGGAGAGGATAAGGGAGAAACATGAATGGCATGGTCTACGGGGGAGGAAAGGGCCATGATCCCCTTCATGGGCTGCAGCTGTGACAACTGCATAAGAGGATGGACATGCTTATGGACCAGTGCTGGAAACAAAGCATGGAAATCTCTCTAGTTTATTGTTCCTCTCTGAGTTTGGCGTCCTTCCCAGTGTGTGTTCCCATATCTGTGGACATCTTCAAGCCCTTATCTTGCCTGGTTCCCTTAATTGCTTCAGTGTGGTTTGTGTTGTTTTTACTCTTTATAATTTATAGGCATTTTTAGTTTAAACGGCATTTCCTCCTTTTCATAACTGTTTGTGGGGGAGTTTTTTTTGTCTCCAGTCAAAGATATTTGGAGCTTTGAAGCAAAGTGAAGGAATAAAAGGGGCTTCACCTGTTTTTGTGACTGTTTATTTTGTATCCCACCCTGGGTCATCACATGGGCCACAACAGAATGTCTAGAAGGAGGAATCAGAGAAATAGGATACAGGTAGACCTCATCTAACAACCATAATTGTTGCTAAAGTGAGACCGTTGCTAAGTGGATTTTTGCCCCATTTTATGACCTTTCTTGCCCTGGGTTGTTAAGGGGATTGCTGCGATTGTTAGGTTAGTCACATGGTCATTAAGTGAATCCGGCTTCTCTCCCTTGACTTTGCACGTCGGAAGGTCATAAAAGAGGATCACGTGACCCCCGGGAACACTACCACCGTCATAAATATGAAACAGTTGCCGAGTGCCCAAAGTTTGGATTACCTGATCGTGGGGATGCTACAGTGGTCATAAGTGTGAAAAATGGTCACTTTTTTTCAATGCCGTTGCAAGTTTTCAATCCATCAGAATAGAGTTGGAAGGGACCTCGGAGGTCTTCTAGTCCAACCCCCTGCACATACAGGAAACCCTATACCAGTGATGGCGAACCTTTTGGTTGTGGTTTGCCGAAAGCGTGCACGCGCGCTGGCACCCACAATGCAATGCGCCCCTCCCTCCCTCTGCATGCAAGAGCAACCCCCCCTTACCTGCACTGCGCATGTGCATGCCCCCCCGCTGATTTTCGGCCTGTTTGAGGCCTTTTTCACCCTTGAGGGAAGCCTCTGTAGCCTTTGCAGGCCGAAAAAAAGGGTCCGTTCGTCACTTCCGGTATTTCCGGAAGGCCCGCTTTTTCGGCCTCCCGAGGCTGCAAAGGCTTCCCTCAAGCCTCCGGGAGGGTGAAAAAGGCCTCAAATGGGCTGATAATCAGCTGGAGGCGTGCGCATGCGCAGTGCAGGTAAGTTTGGCTAGGACTCTCGTGCCTGCACAAATGGCTCAGCGTGCCAACTGGGACACGGGTGCCATAGGTTTGCTATCACGGCCCTATAGCATTCCAAACAAGTGACGGTTCAGTCTCTTCTTAAAAACCTCCAGTGATGGAGAGCCCCCACAGCTTCTAGTCGCAAGTAGTTCCACTGGTTAATTGTTCTCCCTGTCAGGGAACCTTAATTCCAGGTTGACTGGAATGTTTACTAAATGAACTGTTGTTAAGTCAAGGGCTACTTCTACAAGCTGGTTGCCAAGCGCCCACATTTTGACCCCCGCGGCGATGTCGAGGCTGCTGCGACCGTCGTTAAGTGTGAGGACTTCTTGTAAGTTGGCTTGCTCAGTGCGGTTGTAACTTTGAACAGTCACTGAGCAAACGGTTGTAAGTCAAAGACGGTGCCAAAATTGCAGGATCGCTTCAGCTTGGATGGCACCTGTGTTTGGTGATGACCCAACAGGGCGTGGCACAAAGGCAACCCAGTCAGATAATCAGTAGGAGTTTCTTTATTATCTCCAACTTTTCCCCCAATGTCCTGGTTACCTTCTGGGCTGGAGAAAAACTCTCCCAGGAACAGCCTTGGGCTGCAGGGAATCAAGTCCAAAACATGGTCAACAAAAACTGTAACTATAAGTCCAAACAAGGCAAGATGAGGTCATTAGTCCAGCAGGGCAGGAGCAAGAATTCCAGATGTGAAGGCACGGCAATAACTCAACACAGTTGGGAGGACGCCAGGAACACAGATAACCAAAGTCAACACAAGATAAACTCACATTTGTTCGCAGCAGACGCTGCTCTCAGCTTCCATCTCTCTTAAACTCTCATTCCCAGGTGCGCCTAATGAAGGGAATCGGGGCCCTTTCCTCCCCCGTAAGGCACGCAACCCATGTTGCTCCCTTCTCCGTTCTTCCCTGTATGCCCTAGGATGAAGAGGGGATGGGCCTGGGTCTTCCTCTCCCTTGTTCAACCTCTCCCCTGCTCTGCCCAGCCGGACTTTGCCCTTCCCCAGTTTCCTCCACAGCCAACGGAGCCACAGCCGTTCGTCTTCCTCCAACAGGGGCGAGGACACCCTCCTTCTCCACCGCCCCAGGTTGCAACTCCACAGCGCATTTGCTTTTTTTCCCCCCTCCCAGGTTCCGCGTGGCCCGTATCCCCGAGCAGAGACCCAACCCCACGGAACTGAAAACCATCTCCGAGGGGCTGGGAGAGGCCGAGCCCAGCGAGCCCCCTTACGCCTCCCTCGCCCCAGAGCAAAAGCTGCTGGTCAGCAACGGAGGAAGACTGAAGCGGCCCTCGGGGGCAGAGGGTCAGCAAGAGGTAAGTCGGTGGGTCTCTGCATCTTCCAAGGGAATCTCAAGGCGAAAGACCCCGGGAGCGTTGCGGTCAGAAAGCAAGCGGGTTCTTGGTTTGTCTTTCCAACGTACCAGCCAGGAGTTTTAAGGCTGAGAAAAGATCGATAAAAGAGAATATTTGCAGCTCAGGGTTGAAATGTGGGGTCCTTGGGTGCTCTCTGAGCTGGGTAGTTTTCTTGCAGACGTTTCATGACCCAACTAGGTAACATTATCAGTGCTAGAAGGGAGGAGGAGGAGGAGGAGGACTGAGGGGTCCTTGGTGCTCTCTGAGCTGGGTAGTTTTCTTGCAGACGTTTCATGACCCAGCTAGGTAACATTATCAGTGCTAGAAGAGAGGAGGAGGAGGGCTGTGG